TATATATATATATATCCTCAAGTCCACTCCTTGCAAAGAAAGAGATATCAGTGTCATGAAAAAAATACAGTAGAAGCCAGAAATGAAAGTGATCATAAATCTGTTCTGTGGGTTAGTCTTTTAATATTCCATCAGCTGTGGTTTCTGGAACCTCACAGACTCAGTAAGTGCGTGCCAGAAAAAAAAGTTCTTTTTTCCTAGATCTGCATTATCCTCAGATAAACCTGGAACCGCTGCCAAGGATCTAACAAAGTTTAAAGGAGGTAAGAGCTAGAAAGTTAATGAGCTTCTGGTTTTCAGCTGCAACAGCACAGTAAACTCCTGAATGCATTTTCTCGTCAAAATCCTTCAGTTTTTGTGATAATGTTCTTGTAATTTTGTGTTTACAAAACAATAAAACTGTTTCAGTGTTAGGTTAAAGGGGATCAACAATGTGACAGAACTGAAGGACAAAAAGAGATGCCAAGTTTGTCAAAATGCTGACCAAAAATCATCAGACTAAGCAATCATGAGTCTGATGTGAAGTTTATWTAAGCTTCAAGAAGTAGCCTGACATCACATGCACCGTTTTCTCTTTCTTGTAAATATTCCAATACTTTAGCTAATTCATCATTAGCAAAAGACCAAATTATTCCCCTCAAAGTCAGACACATTCATGTGAACTGGTCAATATTTCTGTAAAAGTTAATGAGCTAAACAGTTACAGATATGGAGAAAAAATGCAAGTCGATAAAATAATGTGACTTAAGGTTATTAAATTTGTAATAAGAAGAAATAATGGAATAAACACCTCTCAATATTACTTGAGGAAAAAAATCAGTTTACATCTTCAGACTGTTTAATGATCAAATCACYAATGGAAAGTTGGTTCAATCATATAATTAATTTATTAAAAGCTATGCATTATTTGAATGCATATTACATGCCTTTCTTTCCAGAGTTTAAAATCAGCCTATGTTGAGAAACGAGTTGTAGATATTTTTTGATCAAGACTTAAATGTCAAGTTATGTGGGATCTCAGGTAATGATACATGATCTTATGTGTTGTGACTATCGACTATCAGCTTCTTCTAAAGCTCATTAAAAAGTTTTATTCAAGATCTGAAGTTGAGGAAATCTAAATTTCCATTAATTCAATGACTATGAAAGCACCTGTTGTGGCTGTAAATGAAATAGGATAAGATTGTTAAACTAACTGCACTGTTAAAGAACACAATTCAGTGTTTTTCTTCTGTAACTTACTGTTTATTGCTTTCTTTGAAACAACCGGTTTGGTACATTTGCACATTGTGCACTAACTGAGTTTGTTAATAAATTAAACTAACCATAAAGTGGTAAAATTGTGGTATTTTATAAGATTTTTTGAATTATTAATTGTATAATGTACATAGGTCCAAATGATCAACAAATAATTATTGTTTATTATCTGGCATTGTTTATCTTTTTTTTCCTCACTCATTCTCTTCTGCCCTAGGATGTCACAGCAGCGCCCTCTAGTGACAAGAAGTAAGAACAGCAACAGAACAYAATATAAAAGCATTCACTCTGTAACACAACAGCACTGTCACTGCAAATCTCAGCACAGATATGAAGTTTTGTGTAACGTCTTRGGAAAACAAACTTGCCAGAAGACAAAATTTTTATGCCATGTCGCTACTTTACCTTTGTAATTTACATAATCAATTCATAAACACCTAAGTCCAAGTTAACAAAAACACAGAGGAAACAAGTCTTGTTCAACACTTATAATCACTGTGTTGATCAGTTTCTGTAGACCGAGGTATCAATTTTGTTTTAATCCCCACCATCTGCTTTCTGAGTCAGTGCAACAACTGTGACCTACAGACAGATGAGAGCCCTCCCACCCCACTACACGTCTGGTTTATGGACCCCCCCCCCCAAACCCCCCGCAGGCAAATATGAAATGGATTTACTGTAACAAGAGCTCAGGGTTTAACCAACATGTGCTCACTCAACCTGGAAAGCTTTTGTTGAACAACAACACCAGATCAGTGGATGGCATTTTGCCAGATGTGGCTAATATGTCTGACCAGATGTGGAGTCCCTGTGGAGCCGAAAAGAAAACCAGCGAAAACGTACGTCTCGACACAGAGTCATTACTCTTAATCCCTTTGTGAACATGGCTATAATCAGGATATTTGTGCTCCTTCTACACCATAAGCAGGCATGATAAGAAAAGTGTATAATAAATGGGCAGGAAATGGTCCATTAAGGAGTGGTAATTAAAAAAAAAATCATCAAATAATTCAAAAAACTTTTTTCTCCTCTTTGAGGACTTTTTTTTTTTTGCAATTAAGCATGTATTTTTTATAAAGCAAACTTTTTACAGTAAAATCATTTTTAGTAATACCACTAGACATTTTGATTTATATTCTGAATGAAAAAACAAAAAATATTAAAGCCAAACAAAAAAACTAAACCTACTGTATCAGTTGACCTAAACAAAACAGAAAATAAGAAAAACAACTCAAACTTGACACAGCACAATATATAAGCACTAAAAGGCAATGAAAAATAAACCTCTCCTGAGTATCATTATGTGACACATGAGTTTTATATGGGTCATTTTCAATATTTTCACATGAACTAATGCAGAATTAAAATAAAAACAAAACACTGTTTGGGACTTGATAGCATTGCCACATGACTCCAGTTAATTGGGATTACCAAAATGAACAAAAATCCACATTTATTATTTATAAATGCAAACAACGCTGAATATTAACATTTCCAATACATTCAGACTCCTAAATGTAAAAAAATTGTCTTGTGTGGTCGCACAACTTTGATAAAAACATACATAATACATACCTAAATGTACAACTCAGCTGGAAATAGTGTAATGTTTGATGTGGTGAGTTGTAGACAAATTCTTCAAAAAATGCACAGAAATAACCAAATAATGATCATTGTAGTTTTATCATAAAGCAGCAAAGTTTAAAGCTGTCCCAGAAATATGGACTTTATACATCTGAACTGAGATCTTTAACTTTTACACAATCAAAATCAAAGTTTTATGATTTTTAAAGATTTTTCTTTAGAATCTTAAACTGACAGTRGATGATTTTGCACTCTGACTTTTGAAAAGTTAAAATATTTTGCAAATACTTTACTCCCAAAAAATTTGCCACAAACAGAAAAAAATGTGGGAATTTTAAACTTTTTTTTACCCAGTTTCTTATGTAGGACAATCATCTCAAGAAAAGGTGTGCACTCAAGTTGACTTTTACCTAAAAATATTCTCTTCAAAACTTGAAATGAGTCATTTTAACTTGTCACCTCCTACATAAAACACTGCAGAAACATAAAACCTGACAAACTGCTGAGGGTTTGAGGACGCTTTTGCACGGTCATTTTGTTTAAGGATTCATTTTCAGCCTGCCTCTCATGAACTTGCAGGGAGTGAGACACCATTCTACTAAGTCAATGACAGCAAAATTTTGTTTTTTTTTTAGGTTTCCTTCTTGTGCAATTTAGAGCGGGTAAAATAAGTATTGAACACGTCAACATTTTTCTCAGTAAATATATTACTAGAGGTGCTAATGACATGAAATTTTCACCAGATGTTGGT